GAGCTTATTTTGATAGAAAATACTCAGATATTTTATCAAATTTATAATTAGTTTTTAAAATATTTTGTATATAAATGTCCTTTAAGTTTGATGGCTTTACTGTTTCATTAGTCTGTAATGATTTTAGCACTTCACTATGAGTTATGGCTAAAAACTCAATAACAGGGGATTATACTTCTGAGTAAAATTAGTACAAACTCCTAGTTGTTTAATTCTTTGGAATTACTTCTCTGATCATTATTTAGTTTACTACTATGATTACTAACACATTACTGATGTGTGTCTTGTATTGGCAAAATTGGACAGTAAGGCTTGTTTTGCCATCTATAATTTAGGGTGAAAACAAATGACACAAATTTTACTTCCCTAATTTAGGTAAGAATTTCCAAAAAATAGGCTTGATTAAAAATGAAAACGATTGTAAAAACAACAAGTTATATAAGTAAATAAATATTTACATTTTCATAGATTTTTACTCTTGGGTTGCAGGTGACAAACTTTGAAATTTTACTCATTGTAAGGCCGGGCGCGGTGGCTCAAGCCTGTAATCCCAGCACTTTGGGAGGCCGAGACGGGTGGATCACGAGGTCAGGAGATCGAGACCATCCTGGCTAACACGGTGAAACCCCGTCTCTACTAAAAAATACAAAAAACTAGCCAGGCGAGTGGCGGGCGCCTGTAGTCCCAGCTACTCGGGAGGCTGAGGCAGGAGAATGGCGTAAACCCGGGAGGCGGAGCTTGCAGTGAGCTGAGATCCGGCCACTGCACTCCAGCCTGGGCGACAGAGCGAGACTCCGTCTCAAAAAAAAAAAAAAAAAGAAATTTTACTCATTGTAATGTGGTACTATTGCACATGACAGGGACACAACCATGCCACCTACAACTCAAGAACCAGGTTGAAGACTACCTGAACTGTTTAACAAGCAATGTCCAATGATCACGCACTTGGATAGTCCTGAAATGTCAAATCGATATAAACACTGCTAAGCACTTATCCTTTTAATTTCAGTACTTATTTCCTTGTGGACTAAACACAAACAGTTTGCAGACTGACACTGTTCCAAGAACCACACTTTGAGTAGCATTACTCTAGGGAACACTTGCATTGAAGGGACTGGCAGAAAGAGAACTAGTGAAGGAATTTATGAAGTAACAAGGGAGGAGAACAAGGAGACAATAGATTTGTGGAAGACTAGGGAATTTTTAAGAGGAAGTGGTTAACTACATTGACTGCAAGAAAGGTCAGGTAGGTTGAGGACCAAAAGAAGCCATGGCATTGACAATTATCATCAGCGACATTTGAAAGAGTGATTTCAGTAGGGTGCTCTTGGTGGTAGTGAAAGAAAGCCAGGGACCAGCAGGCTGAGAAATTGGGGAAGCAGAGACAACCAATGGGGACTACCCTTCTAAGGAGCTAAGTGGTTAAGAAATGGAAATAGTGTGGTAGCTTGGGGGTATAAAAACTTTGAAGGAAGACTTTTTTTTTTAGACTGTTCCCCAAATTTTAATGTCACTGAAGGGTTCTGAAGCTGAAGAGAGTTCCCTCTCTAGATAGAAAGTCTAAGAAATATATATATAATTTGTAGGAGTCTTACAGTAATCTTAAAATTACCATGCAGGTTGGAAGAGATCCATGAATTTCAACAAGTTCAGGGGGAACTTCTTTTAAGACTCTGCTGAAACTTTTTTTTTTTTTTTTTTTGAGACAGGGTCTTGCTCTTGTCACCCAGGCTAGAGTACAATGGCACAATCTCAGCTCACTGCAACCTCTGCCTCCTGGGTTCAAGCGATTCTCCTGCCTCAGCCTCCAGAGTAGCTGGGATTACAGGCACCCGCCACCACACCCAGCTAATTTTATATTTTTAGTATAGATGTGGTTTCACCATGTTGGCCAGGCTGGTCTCAAACTTCTGACCTCAGGTGATCCACCTGCCTTGGCCTCTCAAAGTGCTGGGATTACAGGCGTGAGCCACCGTGCCTGGTCTAGACTCTGCCGAAATTCTAATATTTCTTTGGTAGTGCAACAGAAAACTGTAAAGATTTTGATGGTGAACTCAATTGCTTCTGAGTTGTGTAGATGGAAAATATATTTTATTATTTTTTCCTTCAAATTTATTTTAAGCTCCCGGGTATATGTGTAGGATGTGCAGGTTTGTTACACAGGTAAATGTGTGCCATGGTGGTTTGCTACACAGATCAACCCATCACCATGGTATTAAGCCCAGCATCCATTAGCTCTCCTGACCCTCTCGCTCTCCTGACCCTTCCGCCCTACAGGCCCCAGTGTGTGTTGTTCCCCTTCCTGGGTCTGTTTTATGGTATGTATGTGTGTGTATATATATGTATCTATTTATGTGTATATATTATGATATATACACCACACTTTTAAAAACTATTATTTTAGGGTTAGGGATACATGTGCAAGTTTGTTGTACAGGTAAACTGCGTGTCTCTGGGGTTTGGCGTGTACAGATTTTTTCACCATCCAGGTAACAAGTGTAGTACCTGATAGGTAGTTTTTTGATCTTCTCTCTTCTCTCACCCTACACCCTCAAGTAATCCCCAGTGTGTGTTTTTCCCCTCTTCATGTCCACGTGTTCTCATTGTTTAGCTCCCACTTATAAGTGAGAACATGCGGCGTTTGGTTTTCTGTTCCTGTGTTAGTTTGCTGAGGATAAAGGCTTCTGGCTCCATCCACGTTCCTGCAAAGGACATGATCTCATTCCTTTTTATGGCTGCAGGGAAATATATTTTACATACTAGTGAACATAGTTAAATTAATCCATGATCAAGATATACATTCTTTTGTAAATTGAGAAATCTCTTTATCATAATTGTACTATGGTAATAAATAAACTGGTTTTAAATAAAGCAAGTGATATCCACATATGAAGAGAGTTTACTTCAGTTCCTAGAACTTTCCCTCGCTTTCCTGCTGTCTCTACTTTTAGTAAGCAAGCATTTATTGTATGCGTAACACTGGGCTAGGTACTAAGGCAATGAGGATATCCAAGATTTGGTCTCTATCCTGAAGGCACGCACAGGAGAAACATTATCAGTCATGATGCTTTCTGTTGCTAACAAGTAAAAACCTCAGCTCAGCTTACCTCAGCTCCAGGGCTGGCCAAATCAAGAGGCTCATTTATAACACTAAGGATCCAGATTCTTTTGAAATTCCTCCTGCACCAATCTCAGCATTTCTACCTTCTCTGTAGGTTGGCTTGTCTCACGTTACAATGGCTGCAGCAATTGGAAGTGTCATATCCTCAGTAATATTTAATATTATTATTTAATAATATTGAGAACTGTGCCATCTCTGTATTTCAATTTATCAGGCTCCTAGCAGACTACTCCTTACCTTTCAAATGTCTAAACTGCATCCTGAGCTCTTGCCTAAACTGATCTGGGGTGAGGTGAATGGAAGTAGCACTTTAATTGTATTCATTCTTTGTAGTTGGACCTGGGTCTGGGCCCTACCTCCTGACATTTGCCCTCCAAGAAAGATTTCTGAAGTTAGGTAGGATTGGCTGTTGAGTAGGCCAGTGCTTGCAAACCTTTACACATCCTCACATATGTCATGATATGCAGACAAAAAGATAATCTCTTATACAACTTGCTGGGATAAACTCAGGAGGCTTACAGCCATGACCTGCTTGAAGGTTCTTCCTGCCTTAGACCTTGCTCAGCTACTCCAGGATGAGTGGATTTACATCAGAGCACAACTGTATTTTATTCACAGCACAAACAATCTCATTCCTTCTCAGTTGGTGAGTTCAGAGTGAGCAATAACAGTGCCTGCCAAAGAGAAGAAAACATGTACTCAAACTAGATAATCTATTGATATAAATACCAAGACATAGAAGTGATACAGCTTTAAGCCAATGTTTGATGGTGGTAGTCCCAGCAAGCTCTTTTCTGATGTCTTTGTGCCTTTGCACATGCTCCTTCTCTGTCACTGTTTTCTTCATCAACATAATGTAATGGACAAGTGGAATCAAATAGAGTTGAGTTCAAATCCTCTGCTACCCATCTGCCCTGGTATTGGACAAATTAATTACCTCCTCTGAGCCTGTTTCCTCATCTGCAAGCTAGACTAGCTAATACTACCCATTTGAAAGGGCTGTTTCTTAGCTACATGCATGCAGGGCTTAACACCTAGATGACGGGTTGATAGGTGCAGCAAACCTCCATGGCATACGTATGTCTATGTAACAAACCTACACGTTCTGCATCTGTATCCTGGAACTTAAAGTTAAAAAAAAAAAAAAAAAGGCTGTTCCTGGGGATTAAATAAGATAATTATGTAAGGTGGCCAGCACAGTTCCTGGTACACAGTAAATGTCAGGCCTGCCTGACAAACTTCTATTCAACAGCTACTGCTCCCCTGAAAATCTTCCTTAGACTTTTCCACGGTGCTTCCCGTTTTTACACCACTATCATCTTTTATTACACTACTATCCGTTCATTCCCCACAGCTCCCTCCCTTCCTTTCCCTAACCAGTGATCCCCCAAAAGGCCAGCAACTGTCTAACATTTTGTATCTTCTAGTGACTGGTAAAGTTCAGCATCTACTAGCGCTCCAAGTTTCTTTTTGTTTTGGCCGAGTTTGCAAAACGGACTAAGCGGGATGAGAGGGCGGGCGCCGCCCAGAGAAGGAGAGCGGCGCGCCCGCCGAGGGTGCACTAGCCAGATACTACCTGCGGGGCCCGAGCGTCTTCCCTATCAGACCTCGGGATAGGGATACGGCCCACAGTCACCCGCCAGATTCTTTGTATAGCCCAGTTAAGGGCAGCTCGGCTTGGAGGGGGTGGTTCCGGGTAGAAACACGTCCGGGCTGCGCCGGATGCTTCTGGGAAGGCTCCTGGACCCACGCCAGGTTTCCCAGTTTATCCCTTCCCATCTAGCGTCCCAGCCCGCGCACCGACCAGCGCCCCAGTTCCCCACAAACGCCGGCGGGCCCGGGAGCCTCGCGGACGTGACGCCGCGGGCGGAAGTGACGTTTTCCCGCGGTTGGACGCGGCGCTCAGTTGCCGGGCGGGGGAAGGCGCGTCCGGTTTTTCTCAGGGGACGTTGAAATTATTTTTGTAACGGGAGTCAGGAGAGGACGGGGCGTGCCCCGACGTGCGCGCGCTTCGCCCTCCCCGGCTCTCCTCCACAGCTCGCTGGCTCCCGCCTCGGTAAGGCGTCATGCCGCCCAAAACCCCCCGAAAAACGACCGCCGCCGCCGCCGCCGCTGCCGCGGAACCCCCGGCACCGCCGCCGCCACCCCCTCCTGAGGAGGACCCAGAGCAGGACAGCGGTCCGGAGGACCTGCCACTGGTCAGGTGAGCGAGCAGAGCCGCCGCCGCCTCACGCGGGAAGGGCGCCCCGTGTGCGTAGGGCTGGCGCCAAGGCTGCTCGGCGGGACGCGTCCTCGCCGGGGGCCGGGTCCCGGCGTGAGGAGACGCCCTCCCTGCCCCCCGCCACCGCGGAGCGTCTGCAGAATGGTGACAGGATTTTGGGGTTGCGGGCGTGGGGTCTTGGCTTTAACTTGACACGTGTCGGGCGGGTGGGTCTAGGGTCCTGAACGAAGTGACAGGTGCAGTTCCCTCTTGTGAGGCTCAGAGGCAGAGGGTCGTTGCGAGCGTCCATCAGACGCAAAAAATGAAAAATAAAAATACAAAAATGGTGTGTGTGGGAGAGTTCTTCACCGGTTGAGAACTGGAGTACTCCGGTGGTCGTCTGACTTTCAGTTTTGGTCTCACGCGATGCAACAGTTGGGAAGTATTTTCTTCTGGGCGTGCACTGCATCTGAACTCCATTCGTGGGAGAGGCCAACCAGAAAGCCTTGGACAAGAAGCACAGGGTCCTGAGTGTCCATTGCCTGCAGGATACTCGGCTCAGGAGCCTTGCGGCTTCTCCTTAGAACAATAATGCATCGAGGCCTTGGGGACTCAAAGCCATCTGTAGTGATTGATGGAATGTAACTCTTTAGAGGAACTGATACATGGGCAAAACTTTCGTGAGACGTTTACCAGAAGTGCTTGAAAGTTTCTAAAGTTTTTTTTTTTCTGTTGGATGAACTCTTCTTGCGTGTTAGTCGGCTTCAGCTTGTCTCATTATTACTTCCATTTTGCCTTTTGACTTTGAACCAGCAACGATCCTGGTGTCCCGTCTTTTTGCCTTTGTTTTTGGCACAAAATTAGTGGTTCTGTGCTCAAATGGAAATTTTCGTTTTCCCTTATTAACTGGAATCTAAATTTAAGCAAGTCCGTGCGAATGCACTAGAACTTGAAGGGAAGTATTTACTGTATTGCATCATCTTACTTTTCTTGATTGTACTACTTTATGGTTAAATAGCTATGACTGAAAGAGTGTAATTGTCATTATTATTGTCAGCACTGGTTCTACTTTGAGATTACAAGTTCATTGCAGGAGGAATGGGACTTGTTTCTGTTTTTCACTATTTTCTCCCCTATTCTTGCCCATCACCAAATCCTTTCACCCTCACCCATTTCTTTCCACTCGGTAGACACTAACAGAATTAACGGCAGAAAAGATTGAAGTGGGATTTAGGAAATGGCCCGTGGAAGGCTATTAAAAATTTATATATTTAAATGGACTGTCTTATAGGTCAGTTAAAAACCATATTTGTTAAAAAACCAAAACAACAACAACAACAACAAAAAAATTAAAAACCACGTCTGGGGCATGTTCTGGGAAAAGACATGACTTTAGTTTCTGATTAAATTCTGATGTATCCAATTCTTGCAAATTTCCCTTTGGAAAATGCAGTAATGGCTACTCTAAAGAATTCCATGTTATGCACACAGCTTTAGAAGCATACTCTAATGTAGGGTAACCAGGAATATTGACGTTCTGACCACTGCTTGGAAAAAAGAGGACTGTTTCTTTCATTTTTTAACTCATTATTTTATATATTTTAAGTAATGGAACGATAAAAAAATTCTCTTATAAGTCAGATCCATACAAGATACAGTCTGTTCTTGATTATCCTTACCCACAAAGGGTTTCATTAACATAGACAATTGAACTCTATAAATTAACCAGCAAGGGTAGAACCACTGCCGTGCAGTCTGATGCTGAGCATCTTGCCTGGAGATGGAATCAGGGCTCAGTCCAACTGCACTTCCAGTGACAGATTCCATTCCTAATTTGAGAGTTGAGATCTTATTTCTGTTGCCTTATCTCTGGCCTAAGTAATGTAGCTGGAAGGGAAAGTGTCACTAGGAACAGCATACCACATTCATTGTTGAAATAATCAAAGGTTAATCATGTTTCGAGCTGGGCATGATGGCATGTACCTGTAGTCCATGCTACTCAGGAGGCTGAGGCGGGAGGATTGCTTGAGCTTGGGAGTTGGAGGCCAGCCTGGGCAACAAAGCAAGACCCCAGTCTTTAAAAAAACAAACAAAAAAGTTGACCAGGCATGTTGGCTCACGCCTGTAATGCCAGCACTTTGGGAGGCTAAGGTGGGAAGATCGCTTGAGGCCAGGAGTTTGAGAGGAGCCTGGGCAGCAAAACAAGACCCTGTCTCTACAAAAAAATTTTAAAAAAAAATTATCCAGTCACTGTGGCACGCCTGTAAGCACATCTACTTAGGAGGCTGAGGTGGGAGGATCCCTTGAGCCCAGGAGTTTGAGGCTGCAGTCAGCCATGATTTCACCACTGCACCCCAGCCTGGATGACAGAGTGAAACCCTATTTCAAAACAAGAAAAAAAAAAACAACAACGAATTATGTTTTGAAGGAGGAATTGGCAATCTAGAATAGTGGTCAAGGGCATGGATTATAGAGTTAGATTGTTAGGCTCACATGGTGGTTTACCTCTTACTGGCTGAGACCTCAGGTAAGTTCTTTAACTTCTCTGATTTGACACACATCTGTAAATGTCTATTTTTACAGATGAGAATACTTATCTAAAAGGGCTGATGTCAGGATTCAGTGAAACCATATGTTTAAGGTACTTTCTATAGGATCATAGTAAATACTCAAGAATTATGAATTATTTTTCGTACTATTATTATTATTAGATGTCACATAGAAATTAGATGAATGAAAAGGAATTAGCCAACAAGAATTTATTGAATGCTTGTCTTTGTTAAGGAGAAAGGACAAAAATAAGCAGTCACATCATGTAAGATGTGCTAGTAGGTAGAGAGGTTATGTGAAACATTGATAAGAGTAGACTACAGCTTAACAAAGTTACTGGTGTTGAATTGTATAATATTATATATGGGTTTTTATCTTCTTCTTGTTATCTTTGTCCTATTTTCCCAAACAGCTTTAGCTGTTACATTTATTTTCCTTCACAGAAGTGTTTTGCTGCTCTGAAGTATATTTGACTTACCATGCAAGCAAATATTTTTCACTGTGTGGTATCCTTGTTTTGGAATGACCATGAAAAGGATAATCATGTTTAAATTTGAAGTGTAATTTTTTCTATGATAAAATAAGATCTTAAAGTATTTAATAATGTTCTCTTTCACAGTAGTGTCATGTGCAAACTATTGAAACAAGTGTGTACTGAATCAATTTGATTTATAAGTATATGCCAATTATATGATTATTTTCATTTGGTAGGCTTGAGTTTGAAGAAACCGAAGAACCTGATTTTACTGCGTTATGTCAGAAATTAAAGATACCAGATCATGTCAGAGAGAGAGCTTGGTTAACTTGGGAGAAAGTTTCATCTGTGGATGGAGTATTGGTAAGGATTTTCTTAAAATGTTTTGAAATTTTTTTTTCTCATTTTAAAAACAACTTCACATCACTATATAAAAATTGAAAGATAGAAGAATATAAAGACAATAAAAGCTAATAATAATTTCACTACCCAGAGGAAATTTACCTCTGCTAACATTAAAAATGTTTGAGGCTGGGCACGGTGGCTCACGCCTGTAATCCTAGCACTGTGGGAGGCCGAGGCAGGCAGATTGCCTGAGCTCAGGAGTTTGAGACCAGCCTGGGCAACATGGTGAAACCCTGTCTCTACTAAAATACAAAAAAAAAAATTAGCAGGGTGTGGTGGTGTGCGCCTGTCGTCCCAGCTATTTGGGAGGCTGAGGCAGGAGAATTGCTTGAACCCAGGAGGTGGAGGTTACAGTGAGCGGAGATTGTGCCACTGTACTCCAGCCTGGCAACAGAGCGAGACTCCGTCTCAAAAAGAAAAAAAAAAGGTTGAAAAAAATCCCTCCATATATGCCTCCCACCAAACAATTTTAAAGCAGGTCTTAGTTGTATTTTATTCACTATAATACAAGGACTTTTAAAAAAACACTGCCATACCTTATAAAATAATTTTTATACCTTCTAATATGCAATCAGTGTTCAGATTTCCTGATTGACTCAGAATTAGTTTTGTTAGAATTCAGGATCTTGAAAATATTTTGATATATTCCTTTCATGTTTTTCTTTGCATATGTATAAATGTATATGTTTAATAAAAGCAGCAAATAATTACTAGAGTTTTATATGTACTGGGGCAATAGTATAAGAACTTTACATAGCCGGGCATGGTGGCGTGTGCCTGTAGTCCCAGCTACTTGGGAGGCTGAGGTGGGAGGATCATTTGAACCTGGGACGCGGAGGTTACAGTAAGCCAAGATCGCACCACTGCACTCCAGCCTGGGCAACAGAAGAAGACCCTGTTGCAAAATAAATAAATAAATAAATAAACAAGCAAACAAACAAAAATAAGGCTGGGCGTGGTGGCTCAAACCTGTAATCCCAGCACTTTGCGAGGCTGAGGTGGGTGATCACTTGAGGTCAGGAGTTGAAGACCAGCCTGGCCAACATGGTGAAACCCCATCTCTACTAAAAATAAAAAAATTAGCCAGGCATAGTGGCAGATGCCTGTAATCCCAGCTACTTGGGAGGGTGAGGCAGGAGAATCGCTTGAACCCAGGAGGCAGAGCTTGCAGTGAGCTGTGATCATGCCACTGCACTCCAGACTGGGCAACAGAGAAGACTCCATCTCAAAAAAAAAACACACACACACACAACAATCAACTTTACAAATCTACAAATAACTCGTTTAAAAACCATTGAGATGAAATATAAAATCTTTATTTTTACAGATGAAGACACCGAGTAGAGTGAGGTTGAGTAACTTGACCAAGGTCCCTAGGAAATAAGATCTCAAATATAAATTTGAGATTATATATGTAGTTATGTATAGTTACATGTAGTTACACATAGTTTTGTATTTTCCTGTTTTTTTTCTCATATGAGCATTTTCTTATGTTATTAAATTTTTTGTAATATAGTTTCTAGTGATAGTATAATATTTTAGCTATTGGATATATTTTAATTTGTTAACTCTTACTGGATATTTAGGTTTTTTCCAACGTTTTGATGCTATAAAATAATGTAATAAACATTTGTATTCGTAAGACTAATGCCTGGCACAAAGTGAGTCCTTGATAATTTGTTAAATAAATTAATGAATGAATCTCTGATTATTTTATTAGAATAAATTCGTATAAGATGAATTACTAAATCAAAAGCTATGAACATTTTTATGACTCTTGATGATTATTGGTAGATTACACTTCAGACAGATACTTTTAATGAATTTACTTTCTCAAAATAGTAGTATAAAAGTATATATGTTTTTACTGATCTGATTAACACAACAGAATGTGTTTATGTATATCCCATAAGAAAAGTGTTTAAAACCATTAAATAAAATCTCTGGCAGTAAAAAGGAGAAAACAAGTGTCATAATTTCCAAAGAATTGAACATAGTCTCACATTTCTTATCTAAAAAGAAAGGAATACTGAAGTATCTTGAATGTATGACTTGGGTATTATAATCCCCAGGCATCTAGTGTATATTTTAACTGACTTGGGTACTTCATGTACAAAGCTGTTTTTGTGCATATACAATTAAATGGAATCAGAGCTCCTTCACTTTTCTCTTCCTAAAATACTAGATTTTTGGTGTTCAGAAATTTTGGGATAGCTGATTATAGAGAGTATTAGTGAGTATACATACTGTAGTTTTCAATTTATAAGTGCATTGTGTTCCAAATCTGTTTGTAAGTTTGATATAGTAGTTAGGTTTCCAGCCTAGTTCACATAACTTATTTTTTTTGTACTAAACTATAAAAATAATAGTTTTAACAGTAGAGGCTCTTTTGAGCTTCAGAATTGAATACATATTTAAGCAAATATTACTGCTTTATTACCCTTTTTTCATCCTGGCTTTGTCTCTACCTTCCCTGGGAACTGGCCCAATTTAAATGTTATTTCCTAATGGACCTCATGATGGGGACTAGGATGTGTGAAATTATTTATGGCTAGGTACTGGAGGAAGGTAAGAAGGGAATTTCATGTTACTTTTGGGATTTGAGGTATGCTTTTGAAGGGTATAACAGAAGATGATGTCCTGTTGTTGTGTTATAAATCAACAGACTTTTCCTTGAAATATGATTTTAAGTGACAGTTAAGTTTTTGAGGGTTGGCCTGAGAATTTAACCTTCATTTATATAATAATATCTAAGGGAGAATGTGATAGAGTGTGTTCTAAGAGGCACATGTAATGACAGAATGAATATGTTTCCAGTGCAGCTATTCTAGTGGCAGTTGTCTGTCTTCTTTGAAACAAGAGGAGGAATATTGTCAAAAAAGGAAACCCCTTTTTAACAATAGAAAGTAGGTGATGTTTACTGGGATAGAGGATGGGTTAAGAGCAAGGATTAAGAGTCAAACAGGTATACCATGTCCTAAATCCATTATCCTGAACATGTTATCTACAATTCTCAAGCCTTAGTTTTCTTATCTGTAAAAGGGACTGACAATAATTTCTGGATCTTGGAGTTATTGTACAGATTAAATAAATTAATGCATATAAAGCTCTTATTAGAGTCAATGAGTGTGTATATTAGGTCTTGGAAACAGAATAATTTTACTTAAGAAATACCCCAGAAAATTTTATCATTAATGTAATTTTTTTTGGAGAATTTAGGATATCAGTTAAAATGGTTATAATTTTAAATGCATTGTTGTGATTTTGATGCAGTATGTTTGTTAAAACTCTTATTTTTAAGTACTTTAGAGTCAGAAAAGTTGTTTATGCATACATGAAAGCATGTATTAATCCCTTTAAAGTTTGTGGTATTTTGTCTAGAAAAATTTTTTTTTTTTTAAATATTTAGTGAAGTGTAATAATAAAGATTAACTTTGTTCATAAGGTTAGATTGTGTTCATGCTGCTTATAGCATATGAATAGGACTTTCCATTAAGAAATTGGCTAAGGTGCTGTTCATATTGTGACTTAAGGTGAATCAGCTGTTAGAATTTTGGTGTACTTTCTGCATCTTCATTGGCAGTGTGGTAGAATGGAAAATGCCTTGGACCTCAAGGCAGAAAACTTTGGTTGTAATTATATTGTAGCTATATGATTTTAGGCAAATTGGTTAATTCTATGAGTCTCAGTTTGCTAATCTGTAAGGCAGAAATAATGCCTGAATATGAACCTCATAGGCTTTTTGTTATACATACATATATATGTATATGAAATGTATGGGTATATACATATCTCAAAGAGCTTTGGGATATATTGCCCTTGATAGAGCCACTTATTTTTGTGATATGGTGGTTATATTTTAAATAAATACAGTCATGTGTTGTTTAACAATGGGGACACATCTGAGAAATGTGTCATTAGGTGATTTCATTGTTGTGTGAACATCATAGCATGTACTTACACAAACCTGGATGGTATGGCCTATGACACACTTACATTGTGTGGTATATAGCCTGTTGCTCCTAGTCAGCAAACGTGTACAGCATGTTACTGTACTGAACATTGTAGGCAATTGTAACACAATGGTAAGTATTTGTGTATCTATACATAGAAAAGGTACAGTAGATCATCCATATCCTTACTGATTTTCATTCTGTGTATTTTACTAATTATTGAGGGAGAAATATGAAGCTTCCAACTATAATTAGAATGACCTTTTTAAATTCTGTTTTTTATTAATGTATTTTTTATTTTATTTTATTTTATTTTGAGATAGAGTCTTGCTGTGTCACCCAGGCTGGAGTGTGTGGCACGATCTTGGCTCACTGCAATCTCCGCCTTCTGGGTTCAAGCGATTCTCCTGCCTCAGCCTCCTGAGTACCTGGGATTATAGGCATGTGCCACCATACCCGGCTAATTTTTGTATTTTTAGTAGAGACGGAGTTTCACTGTGTTGGTCAGGCTGGTCTTGAACTCCTGACCTCGTGATCTGCCCTCCTCGGCCTCCCAAAGTGCTGGCATTACAGGCGTGAGCCACCACACCTGGCCTTTATTAGTGTATTTTAAAGCTTTATTCTTGGGTGCATACAAGTTTAGAAATTTTATGCCTTCTAGGTAAATTGGTACCTTTATCATTATGCAGTGTGCTTTTTTATCCAAATTTGTATCTTTTGTTCTGCAGTGTCCACATATCCATTCCACTTTTCTTGTGATCACTGTTTACATTATATATCTTTTACCTTCATTTTGGTTTTAACCTGTTTATTTTTTATATTTAAATGGATTTTTGTTGTTTTGTAATCAGCATTCATTAAAAATTTTTAGCTGAATACTTTTTACTTTTGTTAGGGTTCCCTGTGTCTCTTCCTTTCATGCTGTGCCACAGATGAGCCATTATTTATATCTTTTCTCTCACTAGAGGTTCCTTTTTTTAGGGGAAACTAATCTGAAATATAAGG